GAAGTTGAAGAGGAAAATGGTAATACTGATGACCCTGACCCGTGTGGGCCTGGGGTAGGGGGTATCTTTTATGCATGTGTCTTAGTTTTACTTTTGTTTTTTTTGCTATAGCACATGCACTCACCAGAGAGTGAGAGAGAAAGTGAGAAATAGCCCTCAGACGGGATGACCATGCTGCAATCCCTTCTCTTCCAGTCTCTTCTTGAGATTTACGGCATGCATGCACACACACATCAGCAGGACAAGAAGTGGAAGAGGAAAATGGTAATACTGATGACCCTGACCCGTGTGGGCCTGGGGTAGGGGGTATCTTTTATGCATGTGTCTTAGTTTTACTTTTGTTTTTTTTTGCTATAGCACATGCACTCACCAGAGAGTGAGAGAGAAAGTGAGAAATAGCCCTCAGACGGGATGACCATGCTGCAATCCCTTCTCTTCCAGTCTCTTCTTGAGATTTACGGCATGCATGCACACACACACACCCAGAGTGATTTTCAAGCCTCTGGGTCCAGGACTTGAAACACAAAGTTGGCCATGTGGGATCCAGTTACCTTAACTTTGATACCATGTGGCCCTGTGTCTTTGTTTTTAACAAAAAGTCTAGAAAGTAAAAAAATGAATAAAGTGAATAAATAAAAACAAAATTAAAATTAAAAATTCATAGACTAAGAGTATTGTTTTTAAAGTTGCATAGCTATATAGTGGGCTATATTTTAAGCCGTGTTATTTCCAAAGAGTTTTTTTCCCCATAAAGTCAAAAAAAAAGGTTAAAAGCTTATAAAATACAAAGTGACAATAAGCTAAGGTTAATAACTGAAGAAGAAATATTCTTATAAATTGCTTTCTTACCACGATACTGCCTATCACCTCTGTGCACTTTGGTCTGTGTCCTCATTTGCAAGATGGCGATTGCCCCAAATCATTGGGCTATGTAGGTAATGCATGAGCTCGTACTATAAGGACCCAGGGTCTGGCACATGCCAAGTATTCAGTAATAAAAGCTAATAGTCAGACATTGCACTACTAACAGAAAACAGGCCGTAACAGCATCACCCACAGTCTCTACCCAGAACCCCAAGGACACAAATGGCTCTTTTCCTTCTCACAGCAAAATTTCAAGAATTTGAAATACACTCCCCTTGGAATAAG